TCAAAGAGAAAAAAAGAGAATATCCCTTACGTCATTCGTATCTGGGGAAAAAAATATTGTTTGTAATTAATCATTAGTTATGATACCCTTGGCTTCGATGATAATCTATTGGCTCTTTTTCTTATCCCGTCCTCTTTTTCTTATTGATTCTTATTCATCTTTTTTCTTTCTTTCTGTGTATCTGCCTTTAGTTCTGTTGATAATATGAACACGTGCATGCTGTTTGTTCGAGAGTAATATAGCGCGAGCATAAAAGAAGGATTCAAGTGTATCACTCTTTCAATAATATACACAGATAAGATGTAGAAATTGAGAAAAATAACAAATATGTATTATCGCACGAGCACGTTTTCTCAAAGGAACCGGACGAATTTATTAATTTTTTTAGGCGAACTAGTTACTGCTATTCAGAGCTCTCTTTTTATGCTCAATGGAACGGAATGAAGTCTGGCGTCTATTGAGAATAAAATAATGCATAGAAATCTCGCTTTTCTATGTCGTTGAAACCTATGATGAGATAGAAGAATGTGTATGTTTTTTTGAAATTGATTTGACAAAGCAACTGAACTATGAATGATAGATTCATGATATGTCCTTGATATTTAGAAAATCCTTTTAGAATCATTTCAACAATATATTTTTGATAACATATGGTGACCATGATGAGGGATAGCAACATCGACTAATGTTTGTTAAAAATAGCGAACAAAATGGTCTCATTATAGTGTGAGGGATTAAATTTATGATAAAAAGAAAGCATATTGGAGTGTACAGTTGTCTAAAGAGTTTTTGACAAGGGGGAAAAAGCGTATTTCTAAGTATTTCTCTATTTCCGAAATACCTGGAAATACTTAGAAATACCTGAAAAGTTACAGGTATTTCTAGGTATTTCTAAGTATTTACAGGTATTTCCAGGTATTTCCAAGTATTTCCAGGTATTTCTAAGTATTTCTAGGTATTTCTAACTATTGCTAGGTATTTCTAGGTACTTCTAGGTATTTCTACGTACTTCTAGGTACTTTTAGGTATTTCTACGTACTTCTAGGTATTTCTACGTAGTATGGGTAGAAATACCTGGAAATACCTAGAAATACTTAGAAATACCTGGAAATACATAGAAATACGGAAATACAGAAATACGCTTTTCCCTCCTAGGTTTTTGATCATGCTGTTTTATAGAGCATTCCTTGAATATGTAGGATATTAGTATTTTAGCTGCTCTGGTTTTCATTCGAAAAAGTCGGGTCTAACGTTTTCTGTGGTATACTTTATTCTGCTAATAGATATGTCATACAGCTTTTTAATTTTTTAATTTTTGTAAATTCGTTAAAATGTTCATTTCGTTATCAAGAATAGCTATAGGCATCCATAAGATTGCTCATGAGGGCCAGCTCTTTCTCAAAAATAGTAGCAACTTACCATTGACTTGTAGTCAACAGATAATGTATGGAAGCGACATTCTCTCATTGACCAGCAGCTGTCCACAGTCGATTTTCTACAATGATTAAATATGCATTGTTCTCATGCAGTTCTACAACTCAAGACACTTAGTTTCGAAAATGTTTGAGATATTTGTCTCGTTTTTGACAAAGATAGCTGTTGTATCGTTGGATGCAATGAACAATTCTTGATACTTTGCACTTGGTGCAATGAAATTTCGTGTTGCAACATGTTCACTGAGTATCATGAACATTTCCAGTTTATTTCTCTATGTTTTGTGCATTTTTTGCATTCATCTATTTCATACAAATCTGACAATTGTTACAGAATTGTCGAAAGCAAGAAAAACATAATCAGGTGGATACCTATCTTGAAAACACATATAATAATAATGGGACTATTTCTGACCAAGGGCTAACCTTCATAGCAAAACTTCTCGATTTATCACAGCTCTTACTTGAAAATGAAATGATCATTGTAAAGAATTTTACAAAAAGTAAATAAAAGAGCTTTATGTTACATCTATCAACAGACTTAGGCCTACAACCGAAAAAGTTTGTCTTGTCTTTTCTTCAGATCCAAACAAGAATAGCTAGGGTACTCATGGAGGCTTCCATAAGATAGCGTGGCTTGAAACTTTCTCTCTATGAGCACCCTTATATCTATTCCCTTGTGAGTTGAAATCTAGATTTTTGTTTGAATTTTATTCCTTCCTATTCTCTATGAAAAATCCATGTACAGGATGCGTAAAAATATTTTCCAGGGGGGGAGGGGCGGAATAATGATTTCAAATATTATCTGTAACGAGCATTCATCCTATTCCGCAATGTTGAACATTCCGGAATCAGTTCCATCCGATTCCGAGAACTCGATCGTCATTCAATATAACAGACCTACTCGTCACTGGCTGTGTTCCGTCGATTTTCAGAGACCCCGGAGTTCACGGAACCAGGTCCAGACGAAATGACTCTAAATTCCCAGGAATTTCGGAATCGAAGGGAATTTTCTGGAATTCTCTCTCGACTCAATTCCTGGAATTCGGCACCGGAATTACTTTACTTATTCCAGAGACTAACGTTCAATCCACAATGATATGCGTGAGAGTGAAGGCGAGAAGTAATTCTGGTATGGAATTCTGGGAATCCCAACCAATTCCGAAATTGGAAGTAGTTGCCGGAGTTTCGGAATCGGACGGAATTCCTGAGAATTCGGTGTAATTCCGTCTGGACTTGGTGCCGGAAATTCAGGAAATTGACGGAACTCGGTCAGTGGCGAGTAGGTCTGTATTATTGAATGACGCTCGAGTTCTCGGAATTGGATAGAATTGATTCCGCAGTGTTGAACATCATGGAATAGAGTGTATTCTCGCTGTAACAAATTTTGTACCAAATTGAAGCACGTCGAAAATGAGATTTGTCGATGCTACATAGTAAAGATTGTGGCAAATTTACAGTGAAAAATTCAGAAAATTGCTAGAATTTTACACGACATTGACGTAGAGAAATAACTCTCATGAGGCAGTTCAACCCGGATCTCATTTAGAACGCTGAATAATAGAAAGTACTCGACACCTGACCTGAAAATATGGGAACAATAATCAAAGATGAAAGTGAAACAAAATACTATCGGAAACAGAGCACAATTGTCGCGGTAAAGAGACTGAAAAAATGTCTCAGATCTTTTGACAAAGACGGAAACAAACCTTGAGTTATTTGAAGCTATATCATATTTTGTATCCCTTTTATCTTCTTGCTGTAAAGAAAGCTAATACTCATCATACTGATTATTGCTCATATTCATCAAACCTAAAGAGAATTATAGTATTTCGTGATATTCGTCATTTTCAATGAGGTCTAGTTTACACGGTCTCATGCAAGTAATTTTTCTATGTCAATGTGGTATAAAATGCTAGGAATTTTCTGAATTTGACACTGTAAAATTACGATCATCTTTACTATTTAGCATGGATAAATCCAATTTTCGACGCATATCGATTTGGTATACAATTAGTTATTGATGATTTTTGAAATCATAGTGTTACCGCCTAGAGAAATATTTTTACGCATCCTATACATAGAGTAGTCAAAAAGTTCTCGTAACAGCGCTCTAAAATTTCATCCTGATTAATTTTATTCCTCATGTCGGCCTACTCTAGGGGTGACATATGTTACGTAATAAAATACCAAAACGAATTTTCACAAGCATCTATTAGGACAAACCTTTAATTTTTTCAACGCATTTTTTTTCAGATAGATCAACACTCTATTTGCTCGTATTTAAAACCTCGTTGATTATTAGATTTAACTGCTACACAAATTTATGATGAATTAACTACTGCGTGAGGACAGTGGTTTGATATCGTACAGTTGCTCATTGAGTTCATCGATTTTCAAGTGGACGAGAGTCCCCAGACGATAATCTTCGAAGTGGTCGCCGGTTATCCGTCATTACTCAACAAAATATTGATGTAGTGCAGGATCGGGTGAATGATGATCCATATATTCGTATTGATTGTGTTACTACCATTTTAGACATAGTTGTCATATAAACTATCGTGATGAATAATTCCAGATTTAAGGCAAAAATGTACATAAGAAAAAATATCATCAAAAACCAATGGCATAAATTTGCATTATAAAAATACGAAATCACATATTCAAGATATTGTTCTCAGTCTCAATTATCTTCAAGAGGAAAAAATGAAAATTATGACTGATTCATCGTACTCATCTGACCTTACTCCTTCAAATTTTTGGTTGTTCAGCTGTCTGAAACGTACCCATGGCACATATCAAGATGCTACAAGTTTAACTAAAGTATTATCCAAGGAACTCAATTCAATACCTATTCAAGAATACCAAAAGACATTCCAGATGTGGATTGAAAGAATGAAGCTTTGTATTGAACATCGTGGGGACTACTTCGAAAATTTACAATAGAAAGATTAATAAAATGTTTTTTCAATGAATAAATATTTGGAAATCTGAGAACTTATTGGCTAACCTATGTAAACTTCTTAGCATCAAATATTTCCTCAACGTCTTATTTTTGCTGCCAGCAGATCTTTTTGACGTTTTCTGCATCTAACTCCCTAATATGAATTGATACCTCAGGGATCGATTCTGTTTTAAACGAATTCATTCTAAATATAGTAGAATCAGTTGATATCAATAATCATAGTTCTAAAACTTTCACAACTACTTAATAACATCAGATGGCTTAGTGGCTACAACGATGATTACTCAGTCCATACATCTAAGGCTCAAATTCTTATTCGGCCCACTCTTGTTTGTACTTAGGACTTGCTTTTGATCGATATGCGATTAAAAATTTCTATTAAAAATCCAACCACATATTAACGCATTTCTGTATCTTAACGAATCTATTCCGAATAAATTAGTCTATGAATGTCACTTCCTTATTAATTTAATGATTTTGACGTGAAAAACTACCAGTTTTCTTCGAAGAAAACATGAATATTCTATTCATCAGACAAATGAGACAAGTAAAAGAAATTATGCATAATATGAAAATTATCGTGCTAAAGGAGCAGTGCGCCCTTATCGTTGCCACCATAAGATTCGATCCGTTACCATACGACGAAAACGAGGCAATGAAAACATGAAAAGATAGAATCGCCTCTAACAACGTACGAAAAAAATAATATAGCCCAAAAAACACTCACTGCATAATTGACTGAAACAAAAACATAAGCGATGTTGGCAACTAAGGCTTCCTCAGCTTTTCGATCAGCATACTTTTGAATATTCTTCATAATAATCGCATAAACACTATTAATATCGTATGGACTAATGCCTATTAAGGTAAGTAGGATTTGAATGAAAACTATGGTTGTGAATTGTCGACCAGCATGTCGATGTACAAGAAAACCTGTTTTATTTATGCTTCGATATGCTAAAATTCCCAATGTCATCATAATTACCACATGAATACCACAGATAACAACACCAATGAAAAGTATAGTATAAGCAAAAAATGCATTAGTGTGATAAATACAAGCACCTGTAATTTGTGACATATCCTGATAATATAACCAACGGGTACCATGAAACCACCAGATGACAATAATGACTAAAGAAGCTCGATATGCATTTTCAATAGTGCTCCATTGACGAAACTGGATATGTTCGGCTGTGATTAGATACTGATCAATAGTAGCCAAACATGCACAAGTCAAAGGAATGGTATCAAAACTTGCGATAAAAAAATAACGAAGCTTGCACCAAACGACAGAAATACGAGTCATGTTAATGTCCAAATATGCGGCAACGATAAGCGGACCAAGAGCAGTTATATATTGACCGCATTCGTGTATAGTGGTAATAATAAAATAGAATGTACATGGAGTCTTTCGGTAATGTGATACAGTCGTCAAAGTAAACATTTGCATGATGCTGCCGATGAGTTCCATGATCAGAAAAAAAAGACCGACATAGAGCATAATTAGTCGATTAATAAGGATCCATGATGTCATGATTTATTTCGGGGATAGACTCACCATGGAATCGAATATCACTCTAGAATTGTTAGAAACCGTTATAACTATGTTACTTATATGTAACTACATTAAACTTCATCGCTTAGGGCCATTCTTCTTCGACTACCAACAACCAACTTCAGTCCGATGGATTCAAATTCCATGAAATTTTGCAGCCTTATACGATGACGTTTAGGAGAGATACTCATCAAATAAGGGTAAAAAGCAAGCACCACATTTGGTAATTCGAAATTCTCAGTTGATCTTCATTCTATAAATACTAGCATGAAGAATCACTAGAAATCTGGTAATTCTCAATTTTGGGTATGTGCTATTGTAATAAAAAAAACAAACGGATTCCTTTGCTTTCTAATCAAAGTTTAAAATATTTCTTGTATTGAGAATTACCAAACCCCAAGTGATTGTTCATGTCTCTTGTAAATCCTTTTAAATGTTCTTTCGGGAACTCTCCTAATGTTTTGTCTAATGCAAAGCGAATGTCTCAAAATCAGTTGGAATTAGTGAAAAAAATTGAAACATGCAAATTTTCGACTAATCTTAGGCTAGTTCCGAAGTATTTGTTTTGTATTTCACAAACATCAGTAGCACATAAAGATAAAGCAAAAAACGTGATCATGATTGATATAAACGGTCCACAGGAACAACATTCTTAATATGGGAAAAAATATCATATTTGATATTATGTTCTAATTGGTACATCCTTATCGTTTATATATGAATAAACAAAAGTTGAATTCAAAATCGGAACTGCGTCGTACCCTGTATCTTGGCAATCTCTCTCAAATCGAAGAAAAAAACAGCTACGACGAAAATCATTCTAAAATTCTAAAATGTGCAATCAAAAAAATATAAACAGAGAAAAACAACAAAGATTTCCTACCATTTCTGAAAGCAGAATATTTTTCAAACAAGTAATGACAGAAATTATCAAAATTTTTGGCACAAAAAGGAGGTTTCGAATAAGAAATTAAGTCATTTATAGAAGATACGACCTCAGGACATCCCTTCGTACATTTATCTTACGGTTAGTTTCGATAACTGTGACGAAAAGTGACTTTTTTAGACGCAGGTGTGAGGAAAGGCACCAAAAAAAGATCCGAACGTACATCTGTCTATTGATAAGAATCAAGCTAATTCTTTGATAAGAATAAAATAAAAATGATTAGTGAAATCATAATTTCTTGTGTGGGACATATTGAAGTGTCAATGTACTATTTCGAGTTCCCTATTTAAGCAAACACTTGCTTTATCCGTGAAAGAGGGTTAGGATAAAATTTTCATAAAAGTCTTCTGCAGAAAAAGGAATCATGCTGATAAAATACGAGAATGAGAAATGCATGCAATTAGAGAAAATGAAAGAAAGAATGTTATAGTTTACCACATACGAACTCTGCAGCTTTGTTTTTTTATTCTAAATTAAAGACTGACTTTTCACGCGCACCAGTACCATCAAAAGAACAAGAAAGGAAAACCATTTCTATCAGTAGGTGTGTAAACCACAGAAAAAAAACAGAAGTCGGAGACCACCAAGTGAATCTATTCAACTGTATAAAATGTCTTTTATGTTTAAAATAAGATAGATTGTCACTTCTAAAATAAAAAAAACGAGCGAAAAAGAAGAAATGAAACGTCAAAAACAAATGTAAATAAGCTAGTTAGTTAGTTAACTATACCAGTAGCTTTCGGTGTAAGGTGAAGATTAGAAGATTTAAGATGACAGAGTTGGAAAAAAATAAGAAAGACATAGAAATGAATTAAAAACGAAAGAAGAAAGGAGGTAAAAGAAGGAAAGAGATATAAGGGTAGAAGTAACAGAAAATGTACTGGAAGTGTATCGTTCTATTGGTTACATGACTTCGTTCGTTCTTTATAGGAAAGTTCAATCTTTAGCTCGAGCTGAAGATATTAACTTTCTCTCCAGTAAGGTAGCTTCTGTGATATCTACCATATACCTAGCTACTTGCATTCCATCTTTTCATCACTCTCATCTTATAATAACACTTTTATTGCAGCAATTCTTTGCATATGCTTTGACATGATCTGGTGATACTCTGGATTTTATATGCCTTCGTACATTTTTGACAGATCTGTCGTTCATTAAGATTCCTCACTAATAGTTCAATGATCTTCTTTTGAGTATCATACCGTCGAAGTCATAGTTTCTGAAAAGAGATATTTTTTCGAATAATATGCAGTTACTTAATGATTAAGTAACTAATAATCCATGTAACTAAGTACTTAAAATCTAGCGCTATTTAAAAGATTTAATAGTTACTTAATAAAAATTATACGGCTAGTGATTGATGTAAATAGCTGATTTATTTCTACTAAAGTTTTGTATTTTCCTTCTCCGTGTAACTAACTATTAAACATGTATCAGTATCTAAACATTCTGCATAGATAGTTGGTGACTGATTGACATGGTTACACTTTTTGTAACGGCATTTAATTTATTGATCTGCAATATATTATGAGCAGTTGAAGCTTATTGTTATTAAATATTACCGTAGTTATTTTTAAGATTCGATAATCATTCAAGAAAACGAGAGATACATATTGAAAATTATGTAAATTGCCATACTTAAAACTTTCAAAAGCATTGATTTTCCTTTTTCTCGTCATAGCTGAATAGAACCAGACGAGTTACATCCGAAAAAAGAGTATCCTGCATATTTTAAAACGGTATAATAATAGGCAGAAATTCACTCGTATTGCTTTTACATTTCAGAATAGTGTTAACTTTCCATGTAATGAAGACCGGGTAAAAATCGACGGTTTACTGCTGACAGTGATCTAGTTTTTGTGACATGGGTTAAATATTTTCAGAAAATTGTTTTTGAGTATGTATGATATTGTTGTTTCTCATGTGACTCAGCGAGCTCTATTCAAGCATGATGTAACAAGAAGAAAAAAAGCAACACTTCTGAAACTTTAAAGTGTGATCACATGACATAGACTACAAATCTCTCAAAATTCTGGTTATATTAATTGATACATGCTATTGGCAGCCGATAATTTGAAATGCTTAGTTTGACTACGAGAGCATTCATTTTATCTCAATATGATTAATCTACTTAACATATACTTTATATCTTTTGACTGTGAGTGATATTCAAAAACAAAAACGCCAATTGATAAAGGTTGGCTGAAGATTTACAGTGACTAATTCAACAATTTTCTTTTTTTTGCTCTTGCTCGAAACAAATCAGTAAGAATACGTGAGTAGCTGAGTGTTTATTAAAGAACTAAGAATCATTACTAAATACTGATGAAAATCTCTAAATACTCAGTGAAGTTAATTCATAGTAACATAGACTATTTTGCAAATATTCTTACTATGACAAGTCAGAAAATGAAAAATGTATAAGATATTCTTATTTCTGCCTTTAATAATGTTGTTGACGCTCCAAATCGTACTTAGATTAAGTAGCTCAACAGTTGGAGATATACAAAGCAATTGAATAGCTATGCATTGATATTAAGTAGCTATGAATGTCTATTAAGCAGTGCTGGAAATATGTAAGTAGTCGTTAAAATGAAGAAGCTATACAAATAAGGATAGAGAGAATCATAAATAATTCAGTGTGTATTATAATGAACTATATCTATAGAATTCACTCTTAAGCATGTTTATTAGTCGGAACAGTACCTTTGTCGCTGATATATATATATGTACGGCCTGAAATTTGAATTCAATTATTGAACATGTTACAGCTCGGCATGATCGCGCATCGGTCACCCTCGCATGGAGAAGGTTTAAACTTACAAAAATTAAAAAACATTCTCTCTGAAATCACAAGTGCACCACTGGCAGTTTATGAAACATGTTGCAAGCTCCAAGATATCTAGTTGACCAGCGACATAAACCTTTATTTTTATCCGACAACCATCCAAAAAGAAATTCTTTGACTATTCTTATCAAAAAATTGAGTATTGAGTTCTACTACATTTCATTTTTTGCCTGAAAAGTAGACAGAATTCTTAATGTTATTTCGTTGTGTGAGTGAAACTAACATACTCGAACAGTAGAACTGTCTGTGTACTGCTATTTGATTGGGGAAAAGATGAGTTTATATCGTGATAATTAGAAATTTCGAGATGTCAAACTTTCCCCATTAGAAAATCGAAAAAAACACGAAATTCCGTAACGGACAGTGTTTACAGGTTTGTGTTTGATGTAATTATACTCTGTTCAGAAATGAACCGATATTCTGAAAGCTTGTGGAAAATTGAACAATTTGTATACAGAGCGTTTAGTTGTATGTGACTTGATTGCGCAGTAAAATGCTTAACTCTCCACTCACCCTAAAAAAAATTTCCATTTTTTGAAATTCCGTAACGGTCAGAATTTTTGTAATAGCTCAGCCTTGCCTGCATATAAACCGATAAAATTTTTATTGGTAAATATATCGAAATAGTCTCTATATATGATAAACATTTCAGGGGACCAGCTTTTATCGTTAATGAGATCTAAGTGTTACAGTATGAAAAAATGAAATTCCGTAACGCGCGGCCATGCCGAGCTGAATACCTCAAATTCAGATATTCAGATATTAAACTATTTGTGGAAACATACACACGATATCAATGTCGGAATATCTGAGTATTTTTACAGAGTAATACAATAGTAGAATATATGAATATATGAAAAGGTCTTCCATAATTAAATTCAACTTTCAAGTTTGATATAGCTGACTACTCTATATTATTGATGCATATTAGTCGTAGTCTCTGTGCGGAATTTTCTC